CACTGTGGCCCTTTTATCCTTTGTTGTGGAGTAGTTGTTCAGTTCTCTTGTTTTTTTCCGGAGGGAATTGTTTTCTTATGTAGCTGTAGATGTGTTGTGTCTGTGGGAGGAAGTGAGTTCAGGATCTTCCTGTGCCACCATCTTGAACTACTGATTTCTCCATAGCTCTTTAGAAGAAGATAGAAGATTTGACCTTTGTGGAGCAGAGTTACAAGTGCTTTTTGTTTTATTTTGTTTACATGGTCTTTTAATATGGATTCCTGGTTTGGCAGAATGTTAACTGGAAACAATTTCAAACTTCTGTAACTTAGATTTGTTGAGCCTGAGGTTGGTATTTCTTCACAAATACTGATGACTTTTTCCTTTCTTAAAATAATAGAAGCTTAAAAAAATAAAAAGAAAGAATTGTGTAAAGAGAGAAGTGTATTTTGTTTGGCCTCGCTAAAATACCACTTGGCTCCAACCAGCCCGTATTTCCTGACTCGACCATGCCCTGAAGCAGTGAAAGGGAAGAAGTTTTTCAAATGAGATTTGAGTTTGTGTATTTGCATTCCTTTCAGTTTTTGACTGTGTTGTTAGTCTTAGTTGGTCCAGCACTGTGAAGCTTGAGTCAATTTCCTTAATAAAACTTAACAGTAGGGAATCCATGTTGTTCAAAATTTGCTTTTCTATGGCTAATCTGAAAAAGACTCATTTTTTGATAGTTGTTTTTTTCACGTAGTCTACATTCTCAGCATGCCGTTTATCCACATAGAATTTATAATACATGTTAAATGCTTTCATAAATAAAGGCAGGTGATTCAAGAACAGTGACATAAAAAGTGACCCAAATTAAAAAAAAAAAAAAAAAAGTACTAGGTCAACTTCATTACTGGCTTGAACTACTTAGGATATCCTGTGGGAAAGTGATCCACTTTTCTGACATAATTGATTTGTGTGTCACAAATAGAAATGGCAAACCTAAAATTGGCCCAGGAAGTTTTCTGTGCTTTTCTCTCTATTTTAAAGTAGAATGCATTTTTCACAGCTCAACTGTTACCCGAGTGAGTGGTTACCTTTCTGTGGAAATAGCAAAGCACGAAGGAAACCTGTCCATGGTCACACAGTGGGTGGGCAGAGTCAAAATGCATGCCAAGTAATTGTGTCTTTGTGCTGCATTCCGTTAGTGCTCTACCAATGTGATTTTGATAGAGGTCTTAATCAAGATCTTTCTCCCCAAGTACTTGGCAGAGTTAAAAAAGCATGTGTAAACAATATGCACATTTGATTTGACTCTGAAACTGACCTTTTTGTGGGATACAAATAGCACCTATTCCCCACCCACAGCCGTACCTCCAACTGGTTAGTGATGCAAATTATGGAAATTGTGTACCGTTTGCTGTCTGGCGTTAGTAGCCTTTTCAGTGTTGAAACAGTGTTGAGGCCCAGCACTGTGAATGGCTGTTATTGCCAGTCTAATTCAGTAAATACTTGAATGCTTTCTAATATCACGTACGATGTGAGGTGCGAGGGGAGTGGGAGGAACATGAAAAGGAAAAGATAGGGAGCAGAAAGCAGAATGGAAACAAAAAGATATATGAAAAGGAGACAGAGGGGAAAGAGGTACTGCTCATTGGGCTTTAGCGTCAGACAGAAAGGTAAGTTCAAGTCCCAGCTTTACAGGTTCCCAACTATACATTTTACTTAAGTCAGGAACTATTATCCAACTATATTGAAGCTGAACAGCAATGAGATATCATTATTTATCAAATAATGAAAATCTTTATTTATAATGGTGGTTGCTGGCTTATGTGTTCTGTGTTTTTAATTTTAGAAAGACCATGTTTCCTTTGCATTGCAGAGGAGACTTCAGTGGATCAATTAGGATTTGGTTCGGCTGCATTGTCACAGAGACCCATACAAAGTTTAATATACAGGATTTTATTCACTCAATAAAGGAGCTCAGAGGCAGGCAGTCTGGGGCTTTTAAGGTGATTCCTCAAGTTGTGAGAGCCCTGGCCCCTTCCATTTTCTGCTCAGCCATCTTTCTTTCATCTTTATGGCTCAGTGTGGCTGCTGGAGCATCCTTATCTCAGGGAACAGAAAAGATGAAGGACAAAAGGAGGGCTTGACTTTATAAAAATCTTCTTGTGAGGAGGTTTCCCAGGAGTATCATGTGACACTCTGTTTACATCTCATTGACCAGAACTTAGTCTGGGCCACACATATCTACAAGGAACTCGGGAAATGTAGTTTCACTGGTTCTCCATTTTTTTGAGCTTCGTTTATGGAATATAGCAAGAAGCATTGTGATCCTGGGAAAAATGTCTTAGAAGTTAAAACTTATTATTAGTACTAATAATAGTAACATTTAAGAAGTTATAGGCACTACATTAAAAAATTTATGAGAACCATCTCATTTAACCATCCTTTGATGTAGGTGTTACTATCCCCATTTTACAGAAGAAATTGTGGTTTAAAAAAGTTAAGTAAGTAGTTTGTCCAAGGTTGCATTGCTAGTAAGTAGTGGAGCTAGCTCTCAGAACCAGGCTTGTCTTTTTCTAGATCCCAGTAATTTGATTATTATTTTGCCTCCCACGTCTTGAGTCTTACCTTGGTAGTTTATTCATATCTACAATGGGATGTTTTAAAAACTCCTATTCTGTGGTTTTATATTGTTTAGCTCTCCACGTTTTTCACCTAACACACATGCACACACACACACACACACACACACACACACACACACCCCTCATTGGTTTTTTAAGATCTTTAAGTATTTCTATGCTTATGTAAAAGAATGTGACTTTTATTACTTGATTAGTTCATTGTGAGTTGTCTCTGTACTTTGGTCAAGATACTAGCATATTAGAATTTTGGACAATTTATTATTTTCTAAGCCTCCAACTTTCCCCCAGATGCAGTCCCAAAAGCTACCGGGGATAACAGGATGAGTAAGAAAGAGTCCTTATCCTCAAGGCATTTACAGTATAATTCTTTAGAGAATTGGTTTTAGACAAGCCTCTTAACATCAAATTACACTGTGACACTACATGTAAATCACAGCTGACCTAGATGTGCACACCCATTTATCCTTATAATTATAAGTGCATCATTGTTACCTCTAAATGGCTACCCATCCCTTCAAAACATTCCAAAGAAATTAGGTAGAGTAAATAGGCAATTCTATTTTAGTACTCTTTGTATTTTTCCCTTAAAAAACATGGCTTATATTATTGTTTTAGTAATAAAAACTTTAATAAAGATACATGGCTGATTATAGTGTCTATTACTTTGAAATACCCATTTGTAAAAATAATTTAATTTCTATTTTATGACACTTTGAATAGTGGCAGAAATGATGTACAAGCATATTAGAAGCCCAAATCAAATGGGGACCAGTATGACATTTGGGACCAGAACCTGCCAATATAAGCCTATGTAGAATTTATCATTTGGTGTATTATTTTTTTACAAGATCAGAGAAGACAGGTGTTCCACCTGACATGTTAGGAAAAAGAAAGCATTACCTAGGGATGTGAGGCTGATGACATCATCTCCTACAAGACTTCCATTTAATTCAGTCTTTGTACCTGGAAATCGGCCATGGAAAGAAGGGACTGGCAAAGATTCTCATTCTGTATATTTCTCTGCTTTGTTTTCTAGTGCATCTACTGCTTAAAGTTATTTCATTACAAAAAAATATTTTTTTTTCCTATTTGTGGACTACATTGTTTCGCCTGTTTCCTGATTATGTGTATACAGAAACATTTTATTTCATAATGGGAAGGTGATTGATTTTTTTATAGATATAAATATATCATCTAAACCTGGTATTTGCCTAGGTGTATTCATTCCTAGTCTTTAAGGTACTTTTTAAACTGAGCTCCATCAGTTTAAGAAGTCCGTTCTTTTTTGCTTAGGTTATTTGGCATGTATCATGTGCCTGACACTTGACTTACAGGTTAAGTGTCTCCTGACTCTCCTAATCATCTCTCTTATCTTGATGACTTAATTAACTTTATCTGATCATGGAAAACTTACATTTTCTAATTGTCCTGGAGATAATGGGCTTCGTTACTACCTAGAGTGAATTTTACTTTGAAGACTTATACCTTTTGGCTCTTAATGATAAGGATAAATAGCACTGGCTTAGAGCTTCAGAATTAAACAAACACAAAGAAACACTTTGTACTCATTCATGATTTCATGTCATCAGGGATTCTGCAGTAAACACAGTAGAACATGATTCCTCCCTCCTTTCATGTTATGGGGAAAGAAATGTTTATTATGAATGAAGCAGACATGTTTTTATACGAAATCTACAGCTCAGAGAAATTAAGTGACTTGCCCAAAGTTATTGTAGGTGATAGAATTTGTATGGATGTATGTGATCAATGATTAAACTGGGAAGTAGATGGGAAGGAGATTTTAAAGTCTTGGAAAACCTCCAAAGAGTTGGAATGTTTTTTTTAGATAAACACTGGGTAGCCAGTGGAAGCTTTGGACTGGAGCAGTGATGTAATCAAAGCAGTCAGAAAGAATATTCTGCTACTGAGGTGCCAGCTAAATGAATACGGTTGTAGAGGTGTGGAACAAGAGAAAACCCTGAAATAACGGGCTGGTCATCAGGCTGGGATGAAAAAGTAGGGCACTACCCTGGGAAAGTGGAGAGACTGGGGGCTGACAGCGTGGGAGAGGAAAAGGAGCAGTCAATGATGGTGAAGTTTTAGGTGATAAAAACTTCACAATAACCACGGATAGCAGTAAGAGCTTAATGAGAAGCCCAAATACCCTTTCATATGGCTCCTTTCTCAGATCCTATCTTTGATGACTGTTCCTTAGAGTATTTCCTAAAACCAGGAATGACGTTCCCCAAAGATTAAAATTAAAAGGAAATGGAGCTAAGATCGTTACTCAAAAGTCAAAATTGGGACTTTTCCTGAATGTATCAAATGATAGGGCAGCCAGGACAAGTGTGTGGCACGAATGGACTACTGATTGAAGGGATTGTTTCCTAGGCATTTTTTGTCGACCACAACTCCCGCACCACCACTTTCATCGACCCCCGGCTCCCGCTGCAGAGCAGTAGACCCACGAGTGCGCTGGTTCATCGGCAGCACCTGACCAGGCAACGCAGCCACAGTGCAGGCGAGGTGAGTCACGCGCCTTGGGGATGGGCCTGCGGGTTCATGGGAGCTGCAGGGATGTGGTGGTTTGTGGAATCTCTCTTATCGTTTTGTTTTTCCAGTTTGATTTAGAGATTATCATTTGGAGACTGAAAAGTGCTGGAATGCTGGCAGGGCTTCTCTGAAAATACCCAAAGCCTAATTTACACATTTTAAGAGCTAGATATTTGAAGAAAGATGGAAGAAATTAGAGAATTTTTTTATATTCAGAAGATGGTGAGAGAGCATTCTCCATGTATGAAATGTTCAAGAGAGGATGGTGGTAAACCCTTTTGCCCACCTAAGGACAGCTTCAGAGGAAAAAATAGGGCTAAAATTCAGTGACATATGGGAGGTTTTTTAAGTGAGGGTTGCTGGATTGGATTAAAGTCTTTAGCCAATGCTATGGGTTGTGGTGTCCTCACTAATAGTCTTTAAAATCATGATATATTGGGGCACCTAGGTGGTTCAGTCGGTTAAGCATCTGACTCTTGATTTTGACTCAGGTCATGATCTCACAGTTCAGAGGTTCAAGCCCTGCATCAGGCTCTGTGCTCACAGTGCAGAGTCTGCTTGGGATTCTCTCTCTCTCCCTCTCTCTCTCTGCCCCTCCTGCACTCTCTCTCTCTCTGTCTCTCTCTCTTAATCTCTCTCCCTCTCAAAATAGATAAACTTAATAAAATAAATAAAAATCACAATACATCTGAGCATTGATTCATGTACTCTAAGGAAGAGAAAATAGGCAGAATTAAGAATTCCTAAATTACTAAATTACTTCCTCTACTTTACTGGTTTGCAGTGACCTATGGTAACCACATGGGGGCTCTCTAATAGCCTAACCCACCCCCCACCACCTCCACCAAGACCAAGGAAATAGTCTCTTCCTGTTTCCCTTTTTCTTTAGCAGCTTAAATAAAAGGAATGCTTTAGGTCAACTTTGTTTCTCTTTAATACTGGCTTAGTGTTGAATGTATGTCATCACTTGGTAAACATTGTTTCGAAAGATTTGCTTAGGCAAAAAGAATTAAGATTCTTCTCCTGCGTTCCTTTCTAGGTCTATGTGCATATTCTATTTTCAGTGTTACATTATAGGTCAAAGAGTTTTGTAGACTCTGTTATAAGGAAAATTACGAATGTGATAAATAACTGGATTTGATTCATCAAAGTTCTACTCTTGGAATTTCCCCTCGTGATTTACAGACTTGTGGGTTTGCTGGTTGTATGTACAGAATATACTTGAGAAGCTCATATAAAAATGATATATAAATCTATTACAAGATGAGGTTTGCACAAAAATATTTATGTTTTATGAGTAACTAATAAATCTTTACTTTGCTGCCATGGAAACCATTAGTGGTGACCTGGATGATGCCAACAGCATTCATCCTAAAAGCAGAAAACACACCTCTCACCTTTGGACTTCGTGTGTGATGTGTATCATAATTAGGGCCCTGCCTGACTTTATCACAAGGCCAGTGCACTTTAGCCACTTGTATTTTTATTTTTTATTTTTAGCCACTTGTCTCATCTTGACTTCACCGTATGAGCCGGCTGCTTGGTCTGGTCAGGTCTGCATCAGATTAATAGCTGTGCTCCTTTTGCTTTCAGTTCTTCTGCCTCAGAACTTGAGTTATTTCCATGGTCTAGTAGCAGCCTGTTGTGGGAGAGGGATCCTAAGGCACACATTCAAATGCAAGTTACCTTCTCCTGTTGAGGGAGACTGAGTGGTAGAACACAGCTAACCCCATAAAGCCTCAGCAGTCAGCCCCAGCCTTGTCAGACCATTTATGGGAAGGCGTTTTCTGGCACAGCTGTTGGAAGCCCGCACACCCCGCCGTGCTACACACATTTATCTGGCCTTGCCCACCATCTAAAGGTCTCCTTCGAGGAAGGAGGGTGTTGAAGAGAAGACATTTGGCTGTTCTGGGAAATAATGACACATGACCCCGTCCTGACAGGAGGCAAAGTATATGTTTGTGTATTGAATGATAAGTTCTGTGACTGGCAAACAAGGTGTAGTTAATGATCGAATCTCCTCTGAGAGTGGCTGACTTCGTTCTTCAAAGCCAATAATTCAAGAGACGCACAGCAAGCAACTTCGATTATACACATGAGTCTTTCCATCTACTTTCTTATACTCATTTAGCAAACATTACAGGTAGTAGAAATTTTGCTGCATCTTCCATCCAACAAACCGATTCTTACCAAATGCGTGCAGTGTAGAAACATGGTGGTTGGGGTGAAGGATGCCAATAACGTATGTTCCTTGTTCTTATTAAGGAGAAAATGTGTGAAACAAACCATAATACAAGTGAGTAAAAATATGACTGAGGGGCGCCTGGGTGGTTCAGTCGGTTAAGCATCTGACTTTTGCTCAGGTCGTGGTCTTGTGGTTCATGAGTTCGAGCCCCGTGTTGGGCTTTGTGCTTACAGCTTGAAGCCTGGAGCCTGCTTCCGATTCTGTGTCTTCCTCTGTCCCTGCCCCTCCCCTACTCACACTCTGTCTCTCTCTCTCAAAAATCAATAATAAGACTTAAACATTTTTTTGAAAAAAATACGAATGAAATGCTTTATAAAATGTTGATGATGGCGGCTGCTTAAGAAATGTATACCAAGTACTTTGCGAGGTCAGAGAAGGGTGCATTTAAAGTCAGCTTGAGGGGCAGCTGAGTGGCTCAGTTGATTAAGCGTCCGACTTCAGCTCAGGTCATGATCTCACAGCCCCGCGTCGGGCTCTGTGCTGACAGCTCAGAGACTGGAGCCTGCTTCCGATTCTGTGTCTCCCTCTCTCTCTGCCCCTGCCTCGCTCGCACTCTGTCTCTGTCTCTCAAAAATGAATAAATGTTAAAAAAAAATTTTTTTTTAATAAAGTCAGCTTGAAGGGAAGGCAAGGTTTCATTGGGGAGGGGGGTTGCTGTTTGAACTATACTCTGAAGAATGAGTGAGAGCATTCTTGAAGGATAAGCAAGCAGTGTAGGGTGAGAATGGTAGTTTTAGTTTTAGGGCCTTTAGAAAAACCTGTCCCCAGGCACCTAACAGATACGATGTGATAAAATGGCTGTGAAGGTTTCGATGGGTGGGAATAGAAGCTCTGTTTTATTTTCTTATTTTTTTTTTAAATGTTTATTTAGCCTGGGGGGGGGGTGCGGAGAGAGCACGCGAGTGTGCACGCAGATGAGCAGGGGAGGAACAGAGGGAGAGCGAGAGAGAATCCCAAGCAGGCCCCAAGCTGTCAGCATAGAGCCCTATGCGGGGCTTGATCTCACGAGAACCATGAGATTGTGACTGGAACCGAAACCAAGAGTCAGACACTCAGCCCACTGAACCATCCAGGTGCCCCTAGAAGCTCTGTTTGAAAAGTACCAATTTGTAAATCCAATATGTTATTTGGCCTTTTGTTCTCTTTCTCTCTAATACTTCTGTTCTACTGTCATCTTAAAAGACTTGTGTAATACGGGCAAGGAGGGGATGCTAAAACAGAAGCTAAAACAGTGTTAGAGTTTACTGATAAGACTATTAGTGGGCATTTTTGTTTACCTACTTGTATGTATGAGTTTCTAAATCTATCATAGGTACAATAAATAAGTTTGGTTAGGGCAGCCCTATGGTAGCTCTTCCACAGCTGCTGCGATTAGCTGCCTGGTGTGGGAGGTTCAAACCAGAAAGAGCTGTTGTACCAGGTGCTCTAACAGGCATGTAAAATTGCTCCTGAGGAGATACCACACCAACCCTGAAGCCCACACGAAGCCAGCTGCTCTTCAGGCTCTGCTGAGGCAGAGAATTCTCCGACCTGCCTTAGCCAAAAGAAGGTATAACCTGGCACTCGTACCCTCCAGGTTTTCTCTCCAATGTATTGTTCCAGGTTTTTGTTTTGTCAAACCAGAGGTTATTCCCGATGAACAGGTCTGCTGCTGTTCGGCTTCTACAGCCCCAGTAATTGTACCCGTATGGAACTACCTCGATACCATGTGGTAAATAGTCACTGCCCGGCCCCTCTCGAGGATACAGATGCCTGAACCCTTCCCCTCGATTCGGCAACTAAAGCAGAGCTTGTGAGAACCCTGTGTCAGCTCCTCACCTGGCATCTGTTCCCATCAGTTGGTACTTAGTAGTCGTCAAGTATTTTGAACAACTAGGCTTGGTGTGCTGATTTAAACCAGTCTCGATCTTGGTGCAGAACATAAACGATGCTTTTGTTTGCAGGTAGGAGAAGATTCTCGACACACAGGACCACCAGTGCTTCCCAGGCCATCGAGTACATTCAATACAGTCAGTAGGCCACAGTACCAGGACATGGTTCCAGTGGGTATGTCATCCCATTCCAGAAACCTTTATCTTTGCTTTTCCTATCAGTGTGAATCATGCATCCTGTGCTGATACTTCTCTATTGGCAGCCTGCTACTTTTGCCCTGTACTGAGAAACGTGCATTATCCCTAAGAGACCAATTTGAATCGCAAAACACTTCTGTCATACAAAATCCTATAGAATGAGATTTTTTATCTTGCTCTACGTTTTCTGAGCAGAGCTATTATATTAGATTGTTGAAGTTACTCTTAAGGCAAATATGTTATGTGGTCATTTCACATTAAGCATTGGACAAGCATATATATTAGTATATACATAATGCTCAGGACAGAATTTTTTAAAATTTTTTAATGTTTATTTATTTTTGAGAGAGACAGAGAGAGAGAGAGGGAGAATGAGAGCATGAATGGGGGAGGGTCAGAGAGAGAGGGAGACACAGAATGGGAAGCAGGCTCCAGGCTCTGAGCTGTCAGCACAGAGCCCGACATGGGGCTCGAACCCATGAACTGTAAGATCATGACCTGAGCTGAAGTCGGACGCTTAACCGACTGAGCCATCCAGGCGCTCTGGTACAGAATTTAAATGGTGTGTGAGCCTATGGTAGCCTCAGAATAAGAAAGCAATTATGGCACATTCTTAAGGTTTTGTTAGAGAGCTATGTAGTTGTCGCAAATACAAGGCAGCAAGAGCCTCCAAAATTATAAAATACAAATAAATGAATGGGGCAAAGAGGCCTAACCAACAACTTGAATTAGTATTCACATGATGAGGTTGACGTAGATCGGTTTTCACACCTGGACCCCTAAGGCAGGTGGAGTAGACAGGTAGGTGGTAGGAGGCCATGTCAGCTCCCTGCTTCATCTTAAATTTGAGTAGTTCTCCATTTGTCTGTTTTTACCTTAAGATTTTTACTTCTTTAAGAAAAACTTTAATGTGAAATATAAAGTAATGCCTGTGGCATTACTTAGCTAAAGAAATTTGACAAACACTGGACAGGAAGAAATCTTGGATCAAAGTCTAAGAGTCTGTGTATTGTTATTGTGTTATTAATAGGATACTAAATGCTGCATAGAGAATTTTAAAGTCTTATGAAATTATTGCTAAAAAAGTTATATAGTCTCTGATCTTGAATGGAGTGTAAAACCCAGTGACAAAAATTTCAGCTATCAAAGTGTTTTCTCAAAAAAACTATAAAAAGTGTTTTCATTATTTTTGTATGAGGAAATGTGCAGTTAGGTACACTTCAAGTTTGACAATGCGATTCCATGTTAGCAGGTAGTATTTTTTAAATTTTATTCACACTTAGCTAAAATTTGTATGCACAGGTGGCCTGATGCATAAAATGTGAACTAGCAAATGTTTAGAGCATTATATTTCTTTTGTTTGATCACTTGTGAGTTTAAGTAAGGCATGTTACTTGATCATATTTATGAACTGAATCAGAGTCACTGATGTTTGAAAATTCAGATATTCAGTTCTGTGATTTAAATATGTCCATATTTCTGATTAGAAATAGATATAATCAAGATAAATAATCTTAAGTAAACAAATTAGTTTTCTTGACAAAAGAGGTATTAATTATTAGAGCCCTTAATGAATTTTAATTAACTATTTTTAAATTTCTGTAGACATTAGCCAGTCTTGACAGAGGTGAATTTTTCTTTTAATTCTATGTACATAGTTGATGATTCCGTTTGTGTTGTAGCTGTTGGTATAGTTGGTTTGGTAAAAAGCTAAGTGTGGCCTGATGGCATTTATTTCCACAGAGAATTTGGGAATGGTTTGTCTTCTACCTTTTGGTAGTAACTGTTGCTGACAACTGTTTTTCTTTTTTTTTTAATTGAAGTACAGTTGACATACAATGTTATATTAGCTTCTAATGTATAGCATGATGATTCCACACTTGATACGTTACTCAGTGTATATCTGATACAAAATCATTACAGTATTGGTGACTGTGTTCCCTGTGACGTACTTTTCATCCCTGTGACTTACTTATTTTGTAACTGGAACTTTGCCCCTCTTAATGCCTTTCGCCTATTTTGTCTATTCCCTCAGTCCCTGCCCTCTGGGAGCCATCAGTTTGTTCTCTGTATCTATGAGTCTGTTTCTGATTTTGTTGTTCATTTGTTTGTTTTTTAGATATCACGTAAAAATGAAATCACACAGTATTTGTCTTTCTGGGTCTGACTTATTTCACTTAGATAATACTCTCTGGGTCCCTTCATTTTGTTGCAAATGGCAAGATTTCATTCTTCTTAATTGTGAAGTAACTTTCTATTATATATGTGTATAATATATATATTATACATGTATAAGATATGTATATATGTATATAAGATATGTACCACATCTTCTTAACTCATTCTTCATTCATCTATCGATGGACACTTAGGTTACTTCCCTATCTTGGCTATTGTAAATAATGCTTCAGTGAACAGAGGGATACATATATTTTTTAGAATTAGTGTTTTTGTTTTCTTCAGGTAAATATACAGTAGTGGAATTACCAGAGCATATGATATTTCTATTTTTAACTCTTTGAGGATCCTCCCTACTGTTTTTCATAATGGCTGCACCAATTTACATTCCCACCAACAGTAAACAAAGGTTCCCTTTTCTCCACATCCTTGCCAACACTTGTTATTTCTTGTCTTTTTGATACTAGTCATTCTAACAGGATGTGAGATGATATCTCACTGTGGTTTTTGATTTGTATTTCCCTGATGATTAATGATTTTGAGCATCTGTTCATGTGTCTGTTGGCTATCTGTATGTCTTCTTGGGAAAAAGAAGACCTATTCGGGTCCTCTGCCCATTTTTTAATGGGATTATTTGTGCTTGTGTGTTGTTTGCTTTTGGTGTTGAGTTGAATGAGTTCTTTATATATTTTGGATATTACCTTGTTTTTGATATATGATTTGCAAATATCTTCTCCCATTCAGTATACTGCCTTTTCATTTTATTGATGTTCCCTTTGCTATGCAAAAGCTTTTTAGTTTGATGTGGTCTCAATAGTTTATTTCTGTTTTGTTTTCCTTCCTAAGGAGACATATCAGAAAAATGTTGCTAAGGCCAAGGTCCAAGAGATTACTCTCTAGGTTTTCTTGTAGGAGTTTTATGGTTTAGGTCTTTAATCCATTTTGAGTTCATTTTTATGTATAGCGTAAGAAAGTGGTCCAGTTTCATTCTTTTGCATGTAATTCTCCTGTTTTCATGGCACCATTTATTGAAGAGACTATCTTTTCCTTATTGTATATTCTTGCTTCCTTTATTGTAGATTAATTAGCCCTATAAGCATGAATCTATTTCTGGGCTCTCTATTCTGTCCCTTTGATCTGTGTGTCTATTTTTGTGCCAATAGCCTACTGTTTTAACTATTGTAGCTTTGTAGTTGAGTTTGAAGTCTGGGATTGTGATACCACTAGCTTTGTTGTTCTTTCTCAAGATTGCTTTGGCTATTATGGGTCTTTTGTGGTTCCATACAAATTACAAATTTTAAGATTGTTTGTTCTAGTGCTGTAAAAAATGTTGTTGGTATTTTGATATGGATTGCATTGAATCTGTAGAGTGCTTTGGGGCATATGTACATTTACCAGTGTTAATACTTCCAATCCATGAACATGGTATACCTTTCCATTCATTTGTGTCATCTTTAATTTCTTTTATCAATGTCTTCAGTTTTCAAAGCACTGTTGTATTTGGGCAACTTTTGTCCTGTCTCTTTACCTCTCTGGATGGTTGCTATTTAGTCAGAAGATAGTTTTCCATTTCTAACAATTGCTTATGAGGTTGATTTTGGTAAGCAGTAGCTAAAAACCATCCATATCTAGAATCTTGTTTGTGATCTCATCCTGCAACTTGATAATAAATATGGCTTATGAAATGAGTTTAATTTGTGCTTAAGTCACACCTAATACATCTAAGTCTGATAATCATATAACAGGTAGACACAAATTAGAATTTAAGCATCTGTAGTGGCTTCAAACTATGACTTTGAGTAAAAGGAATATCAACCACAAAAAACAGACTTAAAGTTTGGATTTATGTGCATAAACTTAATAACAGATTTTTAAAGCATCATCATAATTTTTTTATTTTTTCAGCTTACAATGACAAGATTGTTGCATTTCTGCGCCAACCCAACATCTTTGAAATTCTACAGGAGCGCCAACCTGATCTTACCAGGAATCATTCACTCAGGTAACTGTTGTATTAGTATTTGGTTCAAATTCTGTAAGCCCCAACTATTAAATCATCAGTAATACTGATAATCATCTTGGAAATTCACTCTTTCTTTCTGGCAGTCTGAACAAAGGCATCTTGTACACAAAGACTTTATGTCATCAACAACCAGGTCATTGTAGTACTGGCTTTTCTCTATTAAGTATAAAGATTGAATAAGATTGACTAAAGAACCTAGAACCCTCTTTAAAGAAGAAATATGAAAAAGAAACAGAAATTCATAACCAAGAATCCATCCTTGATCTGCAGGTTATAATGAAAATAATAAGACACTAACCTTTTTGTGTGTAGCTTGAGTAAACAAAAGTAACTTAGAGTTTACTGAATTGAGACTTATAAAATCCTAGGCTTGGTATTCACATTTTTTCATAATAAAAACACAGTGGAACCCAAGGAAGGAATCTGATCCCCTCACTGTCCAGTATTCCCCTGCATGACCCCTCTATTCTAAATAGCTATTCAATGCATCACACTTAAGTCCAGTTTTACTTTCCTGAATACATGCTGTTCCTGTTCCTGGAAAGTTTTTCTCTTGTGTGTTTGACAAGAAAAATCTTTCTCATAAAACTCAATGCAAACTACCTCTTCTTGAAGCCTCTCAGCTCCACTGTGAGCTCTTACTCTCAAGATCTAGACTAGTGTTCCTCAACCTTGGTGTGGTAAGCATCAGTGGAGATGGGAAAAGATGTGAGTTTCTGCTGAAAATGTGACATAACTCAAAGCTCATTTGGTTTATATGCTACCTTTACTGGTAGAAATATGTTTTTGTCCAGTGGTGCCATCTTGGCCCACAGCCGTGATTCTCTAAAACTACTGTATTTAGTTGTATCAAGCTTTTTTCATCAGAATCACCTGGGGAGCTTTGTAAAGTACAAAATGCCAGGTCTTCTCTCCCCTAACTCTTCTCCCTTCTCTGAATTTAACCCCCTACCCTCCTACAACTTGTCCAGAAATTTAATTCAGGAGGTCTGTGGGAGAGCTGAAGCATTTAATATCTTAAAACTTCTCCATATGACTCCAGTGGCACATTCAGGTGTAATAACCTCTGTTCTCGACACTAATTTCATAATTAATTATGTAGCGTATCACATTGTCCTTTATACTATTTTGTTTATGTGACTTTCATGCTGTAATTTGACTTTTCAAATCCTTATGCTTTTTTTTTCAACTAGACTATAAGTTTCTTACAAATATGGATCTTCTTCAACTCATTATTTCTCCTCCTTATTGTTTAAATATCAAGAATATTACTTGGCATATAGTGAATGTAGATAGATAGATACATAGATACACAGATAGATGGGGATAGAGATTTTCTTGTTGATTTGAAAATAAATTGTCAAATATTCTTCTTATTATGTTCTTAGTCTCTCATATCTTTTGTTGAGGTATCATTGATATACAATATTATATTAGCTTCAGAAATACAAAATAATGATTTAATATTTGTATATATTGTAAAATGATCACCACAATAAGCCTAGTTAAGGTCCATCAGCACACATTATTATAGATTTTTTTCTTACGATGAGAAGTTTTAAGATCTCCTTTTAACAACTTCCCAATATGCGTTATAGTATTATTAACTTTAGTTGCCATGCTGTACATTACATCCCTATAACTTACTTATTTTATAACTGGAAGTTTGTATGACCCCCTCTGCCCATTTTGCCCCCCCCCATCTCCTGTCAGTCTCTTATAGCTTTAAAGATGTCATTAGCTTCCAGAGTTTCTAAAGGCTACATGTAATTTCAAGTAGGAGTATAAACATCGCTTACAAACAAACAGAAATCCCAGTTTCACATTAGTTAACATCTAACTCAAGTCTCAGTGCTTTTCCCAACCTGACAAGCATGCTGTTCCCAATCACAAGAAAGTCATAAAAATTAGACGAGCTGTCATTTTGCATATTCGTGTACTATAGCATCTACTCAGTAATCCATGGTCCACTGGAGCATCTTGTGTAAGAAGTTTTAGTTAGCAAAATTGCATAAATAAACTCCTCAGTTGTCTAATGAGAGATCTTAGATTCCGGACCACAAAGCAAAACAAAAAAACAAATCTCTCCTCTTTTGCTAACCACAAAATAAGGAGAACTCGGTTTTCTTTCTTTCCCACCAGCTCTAGTCCCACTGCATAGACATACTTCTAGTCAGTATCTATTCCTGTCAAAGTACCCCCTCCCCAAAAAAAAAAAAAAAACAAAAAAAAAACAAGAAAGAGGAAGCCCAAGGTTTCTACTTTTACTCTGCTCTCCACATTATTATTTACAGCAGTTTAACATATCTTTACATTTCCACCATGGGAGATATCAGAAGATTTAATCTACCTGAACAGCACATCTAACAGCATCGTTGTCTCCAGTGATTTGACAGAACCTTAATAGACCCTGACAGAGGGAAAACTGCTGGGCCCCAGTTGGTATCTTTCAGTTTTGTTTTTGTCTTTCTTTCTGCTTTTCAAAGTCTTAAGAGTCTCTAATCTCCTAAAGATCGGCAAGGATTTTTCTTTTTTAGTGACACCCAGGGTCTTCAGCTGAGCCCATTCTTTTAACGTAGCTCTCACAGGGTGATCTAATGGCAAGAAGTTATTTGATAGGTTTTGAGATAAGTTTCCGCTTTATTCCAAAGTACTTACAAGTTTCTACTTAGGCTTTCTGAAACTATTTACAGAATCTGATCATAGAAAGCTTATGCTGTCATGACAAGTAGAAGGAAGCAGGGACATAAATCAGTGAGATAATGCTGTTCCTCTTAGAGTGTGTGTCATGGTGCACTTTTATTTTCTGAAAAGTTTGTGGTAGTTAAGCATCCTGCTTATCACAACAACATAATGGGGAAGTTCGTATATGTAAGAGAACATTCTGCTTTTATAGTGAGAAACTGCATCGTAAGACGCATTCCCACAAACGCAGGGGTGGGGAAACAGTTGGGGCTCTTTAATCTCGTGTTTCAGTGATACCTTTAATAAAAGATTTATGCATGGGATAATTGTGTGTCAAACAAACATGTGTAATTGTGTGTCAAAGGTAACAGTGGGCCTTATATTCATATTCCAAGCGAGGCTTCCCCATACCAGCATCCTTCTGTGTGTATGCTTCCTCATCTGTGGCACAGCTGCTTAAAAGCAATATCCCTTCTTATGCTCTCCATGAGTATAATGAGGAAAAGTGCTAGCCGGAGGGAGAGTCAAATGGATACACCTATTTACTTTGTGTTTTTCTGTTTGCTTGTGATTCCTCCTAAACCAGAGAATGGCCAGCAGTTTATTTAGTTTGTATCCATGTGTAGTTTCCTCTTCCTTGAGACTGCACTTGCGTATCTGTGATCGTAGAAAGGCTATGGTTTTCTATGCAATGGGATATGGCTTTAGCTTTCAACTGCTGTATTTAAGTCACTGCTCCCTCTAACTTTATCTGTCATGCAAATGCGATGCTACCAACTTTTCCTCTCCCTTTTTTTTTTTTTTTATTTCCTCAGAAAAGATTTATTTCCTTGGCTAGAAAACTCAACATCCATAAGTCAGTACCACCTCCTTCAAGTGGGCACTGTCCTCCACGGGTTACTATATCCTACTAGGGGCTCTCATTAGAAGACAGTATTCATGCTAAGAAGCTTTTTATATATGTGACATTAAAATAAAAGTCAAAATAATATGTTCTGATATTTTATTTGGAGACAAATATATTCATTTAAAAAAGAACCTTTTAATGATATTTTATTAGTGAATATACTGAATACAAATTCAATTAAATTTTTGGTATTGGTATTTGTACAACACTACATTATGAGCAAGGATCTATGTGTCATAAAACTGAATTAAGAGTTGAGAATAATCACTCTTGTGTGGTTATGAGGTCTAGCCAGTAAATCTACTCCCTGCTGGTCTAGCTTTCCCCAGGTATAGGGATAATTATTTTGGGTTTCAGGTTGATTCCGTTTCTATTTGTGAGAATCATGTGACCATAACAGACCTACATTTCCAAATCTTATGGGAAGTAGAAATAAACATTGATCTTTCTACTGTGTGGCTCTATCCTTCAAGTCAGACCATGTCCTGTGACTATAGTAAAGGGTATGAACAATCAATCAAATAGTCGATGCTAATTCTCCTTTCTTGGCATTACACCATTAGAGAAATCATGGGATTTCTCTAAAATTGCCCTCAGGCAGTGTTTTTAGACCATGTATTTTTGAAGGTGTTACTGAATGGTATGTGGGTACAGAGTCTGCAGTCCAGAGAGTTTTTGTGGTTTCGAGGCATTGCTGCTTCTGATTGTTTCTAGTCACGTGCCCTTCTTTAACTTCACCAAAAATGTTGGTTGGTTTCAATGAGAGTATGTTCTGTGGGAATTCCGGTCTTGAGACTATGTTTCATTGTCCTCAAATGATCTTCTGCTAGCGTTGATCTTCTGGGGTGATTCTGTGCACTTGAGGAAGTGGTTACAAAGGTCTAACTGAGAGACAGCAACAGCTAGCAAGCTTTTCCTGTGTTGTCTCTGTACAGTTTAGTATCTTGTTAGAACAGTCGTAAATGTTCGTATTAAAAGATTGCCTCTTTATCTGCCTTTGCACTTCCCTCGCGGGGTGGGGGGGGGGGTCTGTTTTAGCAAACAATCTGATGTCAGCTCTCTGCTTCTCTTTTTCTGCACCACAACAAAAAATGATAGTTTATTTCAGACACTGAGTGGAGTCAGAGAAATTTGTTAGGAGCCGACTCTGTTATAATCTTGTGCCCGGTTGTGTTTTACTGAGCATTCCTTATGTGCATAGCACAATGCTAGGTACTTGGGGAACATGAAAATAAAGGAGGAACGGCTTTTACTTTGAAGAAATTCATGTTTCAGGGCGCCTGAGTGGCTTAGTCAGTTAAGCATCCAACTCTTGATTTCGGCTCAGGTCACAATCCCACCGTCAAGGGACTAAGCCCCAGGCACTGACAGCACAGAGCCTGCTTAGGGTTCTCTCTCTCCCTCTCCTACTGCCCCTCCCCCCAACTCACACTCTCTCCCCCTCCTCTCTCTCTTTCTCAAAAAACCCCCTCATGTTTCAAAAGGAATTTATGTTGTAAGTGAATGGCCGGCCCAGTGAGAAAGTACACTGGAGGACGTGCTGGAACGTATTCTAAAGGACACACAGAGAGAAACATACCCATGCAGAGAGGGTCAGATAGAAAGTGTTATTTGAGTATTATCTTAATCCTCGTTAGGAACCACGAAAATTGAATAGGATTTCTTCATTAGAATGAATGCAGTGAAGATAGGAATGAAAAGGACTGCGACAGATTCCTTCTAACTCTGTAAATTGATAAAATAAACTTGAATATAGTAATATAGCTCTCAAATGTCCTTCTAATCAGAGTCATATGTATCTTTAATAATACTGCTCAAGCTTGTTATGTTTATTTTAGTCACTGAGTGGACTCATGGAAAATTGTTAGGAGCCAAAACTGTTATTTTCCGTTCTAAAAGGAAAAATATTGCAGATCTACAATGTTGACTTTAATCCCTTTTATTTTAGTGAAATGTAAGTGTGCACAAATATAAAATATGCAAACACTTCTTACAACTTTTATGAACTATAAAACCAAAAGACATATAAATTAAGGAAAAACTGTAAAAAATAACATTTAATTGAATCATATTAATGTGAGATTTTGTTGTTTGGAATCCAAATTACCAGTATTGAGATCGTGGTCAGTGGAAAGATACATTTGTGCTTTTTGTTTCACTTGTGTTTGACTTGATTCTTTCCATTTTGTATCTAATGGTTCACCAAGAGCATCTGTGGCAATATTGTCGCCATCATTTTTCTAAATCAATAGCTTATTTTTGTCTCCTAATTTACCTACCAATTTTATTTTTACCTACTAATTCATTGTTTTGATGAGCCAATTCATTTAATACCCCCCACTGCAATACTAAAGAAAAAAATATTTTTAAATGAACCCTGTGATGATTCTACCACTACTTTTCTATTTGTAAAAAAGTATTGTAAAACTTGTTCTTATAATAAACTGTGACATCTTTAAGGCTTTAGTTAACCTAAATGCATAATTTACTTTCAAAATCAGGGGCACGTGGGTGGCTCAGGCAGCTAAGCATCCGACTTCGGCATAGGTCACGATCTCACCATTCATGCATGAGTTTGAGCCCCACGTTGGGCTCAATGCTGACAGCTCAGAGCCTGGAGCCTGCTTCAAATTCTGTGTCTCCCTGTCTCTCTCTGCCCCTCTCCCTCTTGCACTCTGTGCCTCTCTCTCTCAAAAATGAGTAAAAACATTAAAAAAAATTTCAAATCCATTTATTTTGTTATTTCTTTAGCCTATAGCAATTTATATATATACATAACCTTGCCCCAGTTCATCAATGTCAGTATGCAAATTAATACTGCAAAAGAAAAGCTTTGCCTTTTTAATTGGTAAGAGAATTGTGTGTGTGTGGTAGATGGGGACTGCTCCTACCACACTTACCATCCAAGGCCCTGCCCACCTCATGGCCTGCTCACCAACACTTTCCTCTCTGATCTTGGAGCAACAACTGTCTTGTCAATGCAAACAGGAGAACTGAAGTCAGATGGCAGTATTCAGTCATAAGTGTCATTCAGATTATCCAAAACGTGCCTGCCTAAATAGTAGCAGTTTTGATCCTCAATATGAAAACGTGGAATTTTTTAATTCCCCCAGAATTTGAGATGATGTCTATAGATTTCTAGCAGACAGTGATGCCAGTTTGAGAAATACTGGTATGGAATATCAGGCAAATACCTAATAACCAAGATGTAGTTCCCGTTTGTTTTTGTTTTTCTTAGAAAAGATTGGCGACATTTCTGAGGCTATCTGCCGACCTTCTCTTCCTCGGCCTTCGTGTGCTTTCTTGACGTTCAGTGAACCAGTGCCCTCTTTGTTTTTATGTGAAAGGACTTTATGGGATAAGGGTGGGTATAAGGCTTAAACAGAATCCAGTGAAGGGAATGGCCCTATTCTATTTAAATATTTTCATATAATACTAGAATTGGCTTTCTCTCTTCCAGTGCTCCATGAACTCTTTGAGGAAGGAACTAGGTCTCCGACCCTATTGGATACCTAGTGTGTGATAACCAGGCCCAGCACGCAGTAGACCCTCAGAAAAGTGAAAGAATGAATATTAGTATAAGAAGGTCCTTAGTGGCACAGTGTGCACCAGATGACAGACAGCCCCAGTGTCGTGTTCCTGAAAGCATATGACTCTTGGCTGGTCAGTGCCATAAATTAGCTGGCCTGGTAGAAAACTAGCCTCAGCTTGCCTCTGGTATGTTCTGGCTTAAAGAATCAGACCAGTTGCCTTCACTGTCTAATAGTATCTGAAAAGTGATGAAAAGTTTCCCAATTGGCGTATTTCCTCCGGTGTCTTTCCCTTTCATCACTCTGTCATCCGTGTGACTCAGGAAGCTGTGATCTTTTCCTTGTTCCCAGGAAGCCACAGTCCATATCACTCACCTTGCTCTGTGTAGCTCCAGTTAAAGAAGTGGAAGGAAAGTGTGCACCCTGTTTGTTTTCTCGTTTGTTTGTTTGCCTGATCCATTGTGATGACGGGCTAAGGAGATAAACTGTGGATTTACTGGAGATAGCTTTTGATTGTTCAGGATCAAAGTATGTTCTTACTGACCCTTATAAGAATATTTCTTGGATTAAGTTATTGTTCATTTTTCTCCAAGACAACTTTTCTCCAATGTAGCTTTTTTTCTTTACCTTATACAAATTAATACGGTGTGCTTTAAAATAGTATCATGTAGGGGGCGCCTGGGTGGCGCAGTCGGTTAGGCGTCCGACTTCAGCCAGGTCACGATCTCGCGGTCCGTGAGTTCGAGCCCCGCGTCAAGGCTCTGGGCTGATGGCTCGGAGCCTGGAGCCTGTTTCCGATTCTGTGTCTCCCTCTCTCTCTGCCCCTCCCCCGTTCATGCTCTGTCTCTCTCTGTCCCAAAAATAAAATAAACGTTGAAAAAAAAAATAAAAAAAAAATAAAATAGTATCATGTAAATGAAGGGAAGCAACAGGAAAATTTGTATTAAAATTTTATTCATATAAAGAATTGAAGATAGTAGCATATGGTGACTCATCAAAAAGAAAAACATGCCATTTTTACATAATATGTAATAAAATAATGGCAGAAATAGCTCACATTGTCATGTTTGATATGTGTAAGTATAAGTATATACACATTTGCACAGGTATACACATAATCTGTTGCACCAACTGTAGTAACTAAAAGTGTTTTGGATTTTTCAGTTATTTCAAAGAGCCATATGCCTTTATATTGAATATATAATAAATAGATACTATCTGTCTCCAAGTAAGAATGTGCTCATCACACATAATTTAGAGGTATACCCCCAGGAAAATAGATGAATATCCCTACACACACGCGCGCGCTTTTCAGAATAACAGGGAATTACCCTGAATGATCTAGACAGTTGCTCAGATTCAAGCCCACAGCAGGCTTTAACTCAAAGCAGACTGGGTTGGATGGTACCACTACCTCTAATAGTACATGGGCAGCAAAATGAATGAAAGCAATAAAGGAAGCTTTTTCCAGCATTAGGACGTGGTGATGTTGATGCTCACTGGGTCCTCCTTGAAAGCAAGGACGATGTCTCTCTTGGATGTGGATTCCCGTATTATGCATTAGATACCACATGATAGATACTGTATATATAAATGTTTTACATATATAATACTTATATATATATGTTTACATAACATATAGCATAAATATTTGTATATGTTTGTATAACGTGTGTGTGTGTGTGTGTGTGTGTGTGTTGTGGCTACTATTTTTTAAATGGTACCTAAGTCACTCAGTTTTGTTTCAAAAGCCTACCACATATGTTTTGAGCTGTTTCTTTGCTTGCATAGGGAGAAGATCCAATTTATCCGAACTGAAGGGACCCCAGGATTGGTGCGTCTTTCAAGTGATGCAGACCTTGTCATGTTGCTGAGGTAGGTAACCAGCTTTTGAAGTAGAAAGTCTTTCTGTCATCAGATACTGTGGAGCATTTTAGAAAATAATATGCCAATATTTGTAGCCTAAGAATGTCTCCATTATTTTCAAAGACTTGTGGAATACTCATGTTGAAAATGTAGCATGCTGGTTTAGTGATAATTCATTTCAGATTGCATTTCTTATCCTAAGATCTGTTTGATGTATATTCTTTTACCCTGGTGATAAATGAGGTGGTGCTGGAGAAGCGCAAGGTTAGTAGAGGCCGATGGATAAAATGTCCCCTCACAGAATGGAACAGAAGGGTATACAGGGCTTTACCCCTTTGGAGTAGAAGAGAGGTTGAATTTATATTTTCTTTCAATTTTTTTTTCCCGCAAAGTATGCTTTTCTCCTTTTTCTGATTTGTCCTGATTTTTTAAAGTGATTTTGAGAGTTTAGGTTTTGGAAGTTAGATCTGAAAGTTGCAATTTGGTGACTGTACTCACTGCCAACTTGATGGCCCTTCAAAAAATTAACCAATTGTGGGGCTCCTGGGTGGCTCAGTCGGTTAAGCGCCCGACTTCAGCTCAGGCCATGATCTCCCGGTCCATGAGTTCCAGCCCCACGTCGGGCCCTGTGCTGACAGTTCGGAGCCTGGAGCCTGTTTCGGATTCTGTGTCTCCCTCTCTCTCTGACCCTCACCCATTCATATTCTGTCTCTCTCTGTCTCAAAAATAAATAAACGTTAAAAAAAAATAAAAATTAACCTATTGTATTTTCTTTCCTGATGGTTAGATCAGCTTTGGTTTTAAATTTTAGAGAGTTTAGAAGGGAAACTGGCAAGTTTTCATAAGAGTTTTCATTTTTAATATTATCCCACAAATGTAGGAGGCTAGAGTAAAATAACACCTTGCTCTACCCAATAGTCGAGACACTCACCACTGTAACTTCCAAAGAATTAAAGGGAAAATCATGCTGAACCAACCACACAGTGTTTTATTTATCCCAAAGTGCTAACTAACGATCTCCTTTGTGATATTCATGATGATCTACACCCTAACCATTTCTAACTGCCTACGTGGTAGTTGCCCTATTTGTAAAACTGAAGTCAAAAAATTGTTTTCCTTTACTGGATAGTTGGAGCATAATTCAAATCATGTCCCCCAGAGACTTCACCTTACCTGATTCTCAACAAGACCTGTTGGGAGGCAGGGTCGCTTCTCAGTCTGAGAGATGACTGTGACTCTGCCAGAATGAGCTAGTTCTGAAAACAGACTGTTGGTCAATTAGTATGTGGCATGATGTTTCTACCATAGTTTAGTTGGTGATAAAATAGTTTTGTTACAAAATTCTGACTAGGATATGACACTCTCGCTTCATTCTAGACATCTAAAGCTTTTAATTTACGCTAAAGAATTCTGCTTTTGGAATTAGTAGAAACAAAAATGATTACAAAACAGAAATCATGATTATTATTCACCTTGTCTTAGTTAAATAATCTTTAGATGGTATAGTCCTAAATATTTTAAGTTACAATATAGCTTAGAATATTTGTACTTTAATAAACACTGCTGTTTGCATGAGTTTCTATGTGGTATGTGGTTGAATTTTAAAATATTTGAAAACTGATGTATGTTTATATTTGATATATACATATATCAATATATACATATATTATATATGTATATCTACATACACACACACGTATATACATACACATATAAACACATATTAAGAGCAAGGCTACACTTTCCCCCATTTGGAAAATAAGCATGTTCTTTGAAGTTAATGGGTCTTTGGAGAAGCATGAGACATTCACTTATTAAATAATTGTTCAATAATTACATGCAAATGATGTATTCAATTCTAGAGTTATTTCATTTAGATGATCAAATGTAATTTATTATTTTAATAATTGTACAAATGGTGACACAATTATTACATGTGTCTACTTAAATAATGTTTAATAGTTACTAAAACATTTTCAGATATCCTCAGTTCTTTATTTTTCATTTTACTTTGGAGTTTGAGTAGTTTGAATCAGTGACTATAAACTCCAGCAATGGGCTAGTTGCACATGTAGTGAAAGACTCTGTGTCTATTTTTGTATTGTGTCTATTTCTTAAAAAGGAAAATCACTCCTCATACAAATGGACTTGATTATCGGCAAGCCGCAGTGTAGACATGCCGTAGTTCTAGGAAATTATTCAATTCAAAATAAGCCCATGTAAGGTTATTTTCCAAAATAGCTGTTCTAAAACTCAGGAATTTGTAAACGACCTTGCTGCATTTGTTAATGATTATTCTATTTCATATATTCTTTCATTCACTCAACTCTTATAAAAAATGTACTTCTATCAGATTGATAAATTTAGCTGCATTAGAATTTTAAATTTTATATAATGAAGGATACCATATATAAGGCATAATGAAAGGTAACACCCTGAAAGAATATATTCACAACACATAAAACAAAGATATTATGAATGCACAAAGAGTGCCTTTAAATCAATTTAGAAGAAAAGAGCCCAAGAGAAAAATGGGCAGAGGGTATACAAAGGCATGTCATAAAATTGAAGTAAGAATAGCCAGTAAACTTACAGAAAGATGCTAGCAATCATAAAATGCAATTTCCAGTAATGAAATAGTATTTCACACCATCGGATTAAAAAAAATCAAAAAGTGGGATAATATATGAGGTGAGATTTAGGGACTCTACTACTGTCTGGACTTGGTGGGATTACAATTTCTGCAACTTTTTCAGAGTACAATTTGACAATGCCTTGTGTAGTTAAAAAGGCATACGTGTTACGACAGAGCAATTCTGTTCTTAGATACATACCATATTTATACTAAGAAATTCTTCCAGGTTCATGGGGCAAGAAACACAGGATCCTCATTGCACCGTTACTGACAAAAGCACAAAGTTGAAAAAAATTAAATGTTTGTTAAAAGAGACAGGTAAAGAAATTGATTTGTTCATAGAATGGACTCCTGCATAGCAGGTAAAAGTCATAAACTAGATACTTATGTGTCGACATAAGTTCAAGAATGTTATATACTTACATAGCCCTTATGTAGTTTTTTAGCAGTGCATAAGGCAAAACTATATTCACCTATGGATATATGTTATAAATATAAAACTATGGAAGGAGGATACCTTGTTAAAGTCCTGATAGAGGAGGACAAGAGGGGCTTCACTTACACACTATACACATACAGATTATACATGCATGTATATGCAGATTTATAAAGGTCTGTAAGTATGCATGTGTGTTTTTCTGAAGCAAAAATAATAGTGATAACATTTGTGAATCCTGGATGATATCTCTCAAGTGTTTTTATATTACTCTCTATCTCTTATGTATTAAATTTTCTAATAAAAATATTTCTATCAATATAAAAGATATCAAAGTATTGATTGTATTTAAAGGAAATGATAAATGGAGCAAAAGGACACAGGTATAGGTATCCGAGGAGAGTGTGTTAATTCTTGCTCTTCAGTTAATCTAGTTATAGGTTTACCGACCTTTGTGGGATCAACTGTTACATGGGACTTTCCCTTCAATTAATTTAAAATTCACATTATTTCAATGGTCATTGATTTATTGACAAAGAAAAAGGACCTTTTCGGGGCTCAATTTGGTACTATACATATGATTAATTCCTGCTTCTGTTTCCAAAACTTTTGACTTTTGTAGTTTAAAAGTGGAAAGATGGCTTTAAAAAATAATATCATGTCTAAAAATTTGCTACAGCAGCGTGGCAGACGTGTGCATGTGAATGAAGAACCAGCACAAGAATCATCAAGTTGTTATTGCGTTGCTATAACCCTGGATTTCTCAGCCTCAAAAGTATTGCCATTTTGGTCTGGATACACCTTTGTTGCAAGGAACTATTCTGTGTTTTACAAGATGTTTATCAGCATGCTGGCCTCTGCCCACTAGATACCAAAAACGTACCCTTTCCCAATTATGACAACCAAAAATGTCCTCCGACATTGCCCAGAGTCCCCAAATGCTATGAGAGGAGTGCAAAACTGCCTCAGTTGAGAACCAGTGCTTATAACCCTTGAGAGTCTTTTCCTTAATCTCTGAGTGATTCAACTGGTGCTCCTTTTTTTCTGAGTGTTTTCTGAAAACAGGTAACAGGTTTCTAGATTTGGCCAAGTGGGACGAAAACCTGCTTCTACCTCTTAATTAAAAAACACCAGGGCTCTTACTTTTATTATTATTTTAATTCTACTTCATCAACTGTCAAGAGCTTAGTGCAGTTGGTAGTATTTTTATCAGAATATTTAATGAAAAGTCTGTCATTCTAAGATCTCATGTCCCTGGTTAATATCTTTTAGGAGAGTCCTAGAAAGAAAAATTTCAATAGGGAGACAAAAGACACTGGACTGAATAATCTAAAATCAAAATCCTCACATTTAAAAAACATTGTGAAGCCCGAGTAAATAAGGGAGCTAGTTATTTAGGAGTTGTAATTATTTAGGAGGTGTTTTGTTTTATTTGGCTTTTAATTGTCCAGTTAAATCCTGAACCCTTTGCACATTGAGACCCGGTTGTATATTTTTTTAGAATGAAGGTAGAGAATATATTCTGAGCTTCTGTTATGAGTTCTCAATAAACATTGTCTGCTGTGTTTGAATCTTATTCTTAAATCTAAAAACCTAGGTACTGTGATCAAGCCAACATGGAAATTCAGACTCACATATTAAAGTGGCAAAATAGAAATCTAGGGGAACAACAAATAGTTGTTCTAGGGAAAGACAAACACTATATGATTGTACTCGTATATGGAATTTAAGAAACAAAACAGATGAACATGGGAAAAAAGAGAGGCAAACCGGAAAACAGACTCTTAACTATAGAGAACAAACTGAGGGTTGCTGGAGGGAGGGGGGCAGGGATGGGCCAAATAGGTGATGGGGATTAAGGGTACTTGTTATGATGGGCACTGGGTATTACATGTAAGTGATGAATCACTAAATTCTACACCTGAAACTAATATTGCACTGCATGGTAACTAACTAGAATTTAAATAAAAACTTGAAAAAAAGGAAAAAAAATCTTGTCCAAAGTTGGTAGGAAAATAGGCAAATAATCACAGGTTTCACAGAAGTTGCAACAGACGGCTGTTTGTCCCAAGAATTACCTACAGGAGGAGGACAAGCGCTCCCTCTGGAATGTGAACTGGACCTCAGAGTGAGAAATTGACTGTCTTACTCATGTGGAATGAGGCTTCTCCCCACCTATTTGGCTAAAGTATGCATTTTGTTTCTTGTCTTTCCCCAGTTTATTTGAAGAAGAGATAATGTCTTATGTGCCTCCACATGCCTTACTTCACCCCAGCTACTGTCAGTCCCCACGTGGCTCCCCCGTGTCCTCTCCCCAGAACTCACCAGGTGAGTCCCACCTGCTGCTCATGGTGAATCCTCTGAGAAGTGTACCCTAAAGTCAGACCTTCTGCCCTTTGTAAAGGACAGTAAGGGAACACTTTGGGCGTATCTTTAGTGGTAGCACAAATGCACATTGTGTGCCACGGCTTGTTTCCATGGCAATTCATTTTGACGGGAAAATAATGACATTCCGAAATAGGAGGATAAATGTTAGCAGTATGATATACTCAGATACAGGATTTACTTTTCATTATATCATGTAGTGCCTAATATATATTGGAACATATCAGGACACAAAGTGTTATGTTAGCTTTGGGATTTAAAACGTCCTAGTTAGAAATCTTATTCCAATAAAAAAGAAATCTCTACTTTCAAGAAATAATACAGGATTAAAATTAGTTGAATGGACTTGGATAGTTTTTTCCTGCAATAATCACTAACTGCATTAGATAGGAAGACTAGAGACACATGGGTAGATAGAACATATTGCTAGAGAAAATAAACTAAAATTTTTATAAAATTTTTAAGTTTATTCATTTACTTTGAGAGAGAAAGCGCACACACAAGCAGGGGAGGGGCAGAAAAAGATCATGACCTGAGCCGAGATCAAGAGTCAGAAGCTTAACCAACTGAGCCATCCAGGCTCCCAACAAACTAAAATTTTTAAGTTCAGATTCTTTTTTGAAAGAGGTATGGTATGAATTAAGCAGTAAATGGATGTATGGATGAATGGATGGTAGAAAGTGCAGTTTAGGAAATGAGTTTTTTAAAGGAAAGTAGTCATCATGTTGACAGAACATCAGCTGTATTTATTTTTATTATAGGCCGTGTATTGTTTACACTTTAATAGCTATCAGAATTTAAAACTGTTTTAATAGAAATACAACCTCCATATGTGTCCCTAGAAGCTACTCTATGGTCTTTGATATATGACATGTTTTCATAAATCCTATGATAATGAAGCTACTGCCTAATTGAATACCACAAACAGGAAAAGGTCTATTAATTTGTTCTTTAACACAGATTTATTGAGCATCCAACTATGATCCAAGCAAGGAATTAGACTCTGGTGCTACAAAGATGAATAATACCATCTCAGCCTTTGAAGGATTGGTGGTGGGGAACTGAGTCCACAAATAACTCTGTAAAGCCCTGTGGTTAGTTCTGTAATGAAGAGAAGTTTGGGAACACAGATACGGGAATGGTTTTTTCCTTCAAGACTGGGAGCGGGTGTTTGGGGAAAGATGAAGACAACAGGTATGAGCAAGCCTTGAAGGGTGATGAAGGCGAGCCAAAGGAAGGAAGGTGTTCTGGGTGAATGAGGAGCGTAAGCTGAGTCTCAGAAGCATGGAAGTAGTTTAAGCCATTAACAGATACAAGTAAGAGCAAGTTCTCAAAGCTCAGGTTGGAAAGATAGGCCAGGGCTAGTTGGTCATTGAAGCTTTATTTTGTAGTCCATATGGAGCGACTGAAAATTTATAAACAGAGGAATATCCTGTTATACAAAGATCAGTTTGGTAGCAATTTGGAGGCTGGATTAGAAGACAAGAGAATGGTGGGGCGCCTGGGTGGCTCAGTCGGTTAAGCATCTGACTTCGGCTCCAGTCATGATCTCATGGGTTGTGGATTTGAGACCCGTGTCGGGCTCTGTGCTGACAGCTCAGTGCCTGGAGGCCGCTTCAGATTCTGTCTCCCTCTCTCTCTGCCCCTCCTCTGCTTACGCTCTGTCTCTCTCTCAAAAAATAGATAGATAAACAAACAAACATTTAAAAGAAAACAAGAGAATGGAGTCTAAGAAACCACTTGGGAGGCTGTTGCATTAACCCGGGTGACCTGCTAAAGGGCTGGATTAGAGGTGATGGAGAAACAGAAATTAGTTCAAAGGATATGTAGGAGATCTAGACACGAGGACTTTGAGTCTCCGCCACCGAGACTACTAGGCAGATGGCAAACTATTGGCCAAGGAAAGGAAAAAGATTAGACTGGAAGGGAGAGGTTAGATGAGTTTAGTTTTGGACATGGTTTGTTGAGGAATCTCTGAGCCATCCAACTAGAGATACCAAAGATGTCTGGAAAAGATAATCGTGGAGCTCAGGAGAGGTTGGTGGCCAGGCATATACATATGCTGGTGGCAGTTGAAGCCCAAGGCAAATTAGAGGAACTAAGGAGAACAAGCTCATGGAAAGAAGAGAAACCAGAGGATGGTAACATTGAGGAACTCCAGTATTTAAGGGATGGGCTGAGATGGAGGAGCAAATGAAGGAAAGAGAGCCAATGGATTTTGGAAGAGAATTAGGAAAGTCTTTTCAGGAAAGCCAGGCTTCAAGGAATAGAGAGTGTGGCCAAATCCTCAAAGCATTCAAGAAGGATAAGGCCTGAGAAGAGGCCATTGGATTTGAAAGTCATGAAGTTATAAATGTCCTTCACCAGAGCAATTTCTATGACATCAGAGGTTATAAACTCTACTGTGGCCAGTTGCAGAATGATATAGGATGTAAAGGAGAAACCAAGAGTATAGAATATTCTTTCATGAAGTAGGTGGGTAAGAAAAAAGGAAAATAGGACAGTACTTAGAAGGAGAAGATGGGTTAAGGAAGAGGTTTTAGGATGGAGAAGTTGAGCATGTGTGTGTGCAGAGGTCAGAAGATGTGGGTGGAAGGAAACTAGTTTGTTGGAGCAGCGATCATACAAGAGACCCATGGGAAGGCAGGATGCCGGAGACAAAAGTGAAGGCCAACTTTGGAACAAAGTAGGGTCACCTATTTTGATGATCCAGGATGAGAAGAAATAAGTATCTGACACTTCAAGTAAGTTTAAAGGTGTAGGGGAACAATCGATGGAATGTATAGCTGGCCTCAATCATTACTGTGTGTGACTTTGGACAGTTTACTTCCTTCCCTGAACTTGACTTTATTTTTCTATAAAATGGGAATAATAGCAAACACCTCCCATGGTTACTTGGAGGAGAACACCTTGTCTGGTGCCTGCAACATAACAATTATCCGATAACTGGTAATTTATCCCCTTTTGCTTTCTTTCTGGAAATCTGATCCTGAGAAGTGTAGTTTGTCCATGTTTAAACCATTAGTAACTGGGAAATATGAATTCATTTCTCCCTGATTTGCACAGCTAGCTGCCTAGGTATTTAATTGTTCTGACTGGTCTTTATCTTAGCTAGGAATTATGATGGAGTTTAAATGGGTCGTCCCTTTACCTGATGCTTTGTGGTTAAAGAAATGAAGGTGTGGGGCGTCTGGGTGGCTCAGTGGGTTAAGCATCCAACTCCTGATTTAGGCTCAGGTCATGATGTCACCGTCGTGAGATGGAGTCCTGCATCGGGCTGCACTACATTGACAGTGCCTGCTTGGGATTCTCTCTCTGCCCCTCCCCCGCTCATGTGCACACTCTCCTTAACACACACGCACTCTGTCTTTCTCTCTCTCAAAAATAAATAAACATTTATAAATGAAAAAGAAAAGAAAAGAAAGGAAAAGAAAAAAGAAAAGAAAAGAAAGGAAAGGAAAAGAAAAAAGAAAAGAAAAGAAAAGAAAAAAGAAAGGAAAAGAAAAGAGAAAAGAAAAGCTGTATGGATTATTGCTCATTCCAGTCAAGGCTCTCCTTCCCAAGGGCTTTTCTTCAGCCCATCCTCCCCAAGGAAAAGGTGGATCAACAGATTCTGTCCCTTCCGGATCCCTGCAGAGGCATGTGCTCTTGGAGACTGGCTGGGCATTCTTTGAGACCGTATGAACATTCTAAATGGTGACTGACTTCGCTCCTTTTCATTTAGCGTCACAAATGTACACGAGTCATCCATGGTGGTGGTAAAGATGCATTCTGGAAGCACAGTTTGAGTCAAACGATTTCCAAAGATACGGAACCCAAATATATCTAAATTGCTAGCAGTGTTTGTGGTGGTTTTAATTTTCAGGGAGAATCATCTCCACATTTTTGGCCTACTCAGTTTCAGGGGGCTTCATTTGATCTTGAAATTGGGATGAACTGCCTGGTATCAGTGGACATTACTGTAACTAATTCCACATGATATTGCAAGGCCAAGACTAGCTAGCCTCATTTACCCTGTGGAGGAATCTTCTGACTTTTTGAGTAAAATAGCCTCTCCTTCTACCACTTTCCTGAAGTTTTTTTGTGAGACACATTTCAAACAGATTTTTTTTAAGCGGTCTCTTCGTCCTTCTTGTGACTAGAATTTCATCTCTTTTAGTATGAGGATAATATTCTGAAAATTATGACAATAATAAATTTGAATGATCTTCTTTCAGAACGCCTCGGGATCTGGTAAACTTTCCACACTTTTCCTCATTTTGAGCCTATTTACATGTCTTTTCAAGTGCAGAAGAGAGAGGGGCTTCGGAAACTTTGACTCGCTGCTTTTTGCAGCTGTTAGAGTGCTCACCTACAATTTGTCAAAATTTCGGAATGTGAAGGTTTGTTTTTCTAGGACCGTTATAATGCCAGTCCCGACCTTAGCTATGCCAGAAGGGAAAAATCTTTCCAAACACCATATAGTTCATTATGCCAAATATGGGACCCAGAAGTTTATTTAAGGACCTTTTGTAACTCTACATTTCTAGGAATTTAAATTCAATAACACCTAATCTATCTAATATTATTGAAGATGTGCTTACTTATGTGAATTTTCCACGTAACCAAAGTTATGATTAAGTGTCAGAGAATTTGTTTAACCCACCATTTGCTGAAACTCTTTCATAAATACTTTGTATTTCTTTCTGCTTCCCCATATCCAGTACATTGAGGATATTTCGTGGTTCAGGGGCATCATCGTACAGAGCTGTTATTACTTGACTAAAACCGGACTGTCTGGAAGCTAGGCCAGGTCACACTCAACACAAACAGACCAGAGAGCTCTGAAGAGCCACGGTGGTTCTTTGCTGAAGGTTGTCTTGAAGGCATGGCTTTGAGAGGGAGTTATTCCC